AAGGGGGTGGGGGAGTTTTCAAATGAGGCCTGGATCATTCCTGGAGCAAAGGGATCAATAACCGCCGGGCTAAGCCCTCGCTCATCCATCTGATTCATATCCTTCCCTCCAGCTTCTCAGATATAAGAGGAATCACCGGACTGAAGGCTCCTTCTCTGTGGCAAGATGTACCAGCTGCAAGCTCTTTCCTCACATACATAAAGCTGTATGAAGTGATTAATGTAAGAGTTGTGCTTATATCATAATGTGACTGGATGTGTCAGTGTATGATGATCTTTTCTATGGATATATAGCTGCAAAAGGAAAATACAGTTGTCTGTAAATAGCTCACTTTTAGATTTACAATTAGAGGTAGCATATCATGGGCTATATCTAGAAATGATTTTGCATTCAGGCTGGAACAACCTATAAATTATAAAACAGTAATCAAACCACTGCCATTGTGCATCCGCGTTTACACTTCACATGATGGTGGGTTGACGTTCAAACGTCTCCCTGAGAAAATGTACAACTCCCAGTGCTGCAACATGAAAATAAACGTCCTCTGACATCATTTACCTCACTGTCATGCCTCTTGTACTCACTCAAATGCCATTTAATTATTTGGAAAAAAATATCAGTCAGCTAAACAATGACAGTCAAATACCTCACTATCTGTGTTGTCATTAATTAGCAACTATTTGCATCTTACAAATAGCGTTGTACAGAACAATTTTGACATCATTTCTTTCTTCTCCTGTAAACTGCAGTTACATTTGGGCTGCATCCTTAGCTTGTGCAGGAGCTCTTGACACAGGAGCTCTTCATTTGATGACACTTCTTCTTACCTGCTGCAGCTGCTGCTGCTGCTCCAAAGACAACATCTCACTTCAAAAGAGCAGTGTTATTATTTGCACAGGCTATGACTGAACTTCATTTGTCACTGTCGGTTAGTAATTAAGTTTTAAACATAGTCTCTGCTGAATCTTCATGCCGATACACTGACATGGAGAATAAATCCTTACAAAGAGAGCCTGATAATGGGATAAATGGTTGGGTCTTTTTCACGGAGTGTTGGGCATTAAAAAATTGTTGCTTTATGGCTTCAAATGAAAAGACTTATTCAGTTCAATGTGATACATTTTATTTCTCTGCAAGGGACAATGTGATTGAGGGATAAAAAGCTTATTGACTGATAAATATAAAGTAAAAAGATTGAATAAACTATTGAATCTTTTTAAAGACCTCTGGGAAACCATGTACAAAGGTCTGTAGTTATTGACTATTCATTTTGCTGTTTATTCATGACTAAAATTATATTGGTGGTGAAGCATTCTGAGCTGTAGCTTCATAGTCACTGTAGTTTGGTTTGCAAGATGAGTCCAAGTGAAAAGAAAATGTTCCCTTATTGGTCAGAAGAGAATCAAGGTAGCAAATGCAAGGAAATGTACAGTAAGCTTTGAAGCTAAAACCAAAAAGAGATAATCCAGTTACCGTTCTAACCCAAACAAAGAAAATACAAGCACATACAGTATAGTGCATATATAGCATACAGTGTCTGATAAATGATTGATACATGAACACAAATATTTCATGCACTGACTCCTGTGTGGTCTCTTCTGTGGAAACTGTGGTTAAAATAATAATCCTTTGCTCTTCAGCTTCAAACAGCACCAACCGCAATACTGGAGAACAGAAAGAACAACTTTTATAGATGGTGTAAGCAAGACCTCCAACAGTAGCCTACCATATACCTATAGCTAATGCAGATATAACAAAGCTGGTGTGCATTATATGACTGGAAAGTAGGAAGGATGTAACAATATTTTTACTGGATATTTCAAAATGTAATTGAGATCAAATAAAGTTAAATGGCTACAATAGAGTTCACTGAGGTCATAGCCTACCTCATTATTTTTTTCTGAGTATTTGGGTGCTTTAGCAAGCTTGTGGGAAGTTTATATTCTGCAGTTAAAACCTCACACGCTGCTCTTTTTAAAGGCTGATTCCAGTACATTTAAATTTCATTACCTATAGGCCAACAATATAATTCAGTATTTCTCCAGCAGAAATGACTGTAATGGTGTATTTTACAGCCTGTAATTTCCTAATAACGTGCTGGAAAGAATTTAGTCATCTGGTAATAATTACAGGGAAAATCTGAACACAGTTCTGGGACAGGTGAATTAGACTTCTTGGAAGAAATGCTCAGTTCAAACCTGCATAGCTTTCTTTTTTTGGCCACTTGGGGGCAAAAATCTGAGATAACACCACAACACTGACATAAAGTCAACTTTCATTCATTTGTAAAGTAAATCCAAAATTCACCCTCTTGCTTTGCTCTCTACTGACACCTGAGGTAAATGTCTGGCTCTTTAGCTGCTAAAAGCAACAACATGTTCAACAGGCCAGTCTCTAACGTTGTCTTTCGTTGTTGTTTGGCGCTTGTCGGTATAGTGAGCATACAGTGGGTTTACCAGAGCGTTTTTGCAAACAGAAAACAGCAGCCAGTTGTTGCTGGAAACAAAGCTGATGAGAGCCAAGAGAATAAACCAAAACAGTAAAGCTGTGGGCCACTAAAACAAAACAACGAGCTGAAAACTGTTAAAAAGCTCCACAAAGCTTCAGAGTGGGTGATAATTCTTTGTACATTTGTTGCTCTGAGTGACCCTATTCATGTGAAACATATTTTTTTCCCATGTTTTATTATTAAAATATTGAAATGTGCAGCTTTAAATAAAACTTGCATAAATATAATATAATTTGACAGCCTACTCCTACTTTTTTATTTTTATAAACATAATAAAAAAAACATTAGAGACCTTCTTTTTGGTGTCTAGGGTGGTGCGGGGTTGTTAGGGGGACTTCACCTTACCATGACCTCAGTATCTCAAAAATCCTGACTACAGCCCTGCATATGGATAACTGCAAACAATACTTGATTTAAATAAGATTCAGACTGATTCATCAAATATATATATTTTTTTCATACAATAAAGACCACCAAGTGTTATTATGTGACACAGTCAGGGAGTGTAAGACTAACCTACATAGATGTCTCTTATGAAACAGTATGAGCCCAGTAAGTCATTCTGACCTCTAGTCTGTCACATCCTCTGTTGTGAGAACACAGTTACATTATGTAACCAATGCATCACAGAATGACACCCTGCAGTGATGAAAAAAAAAAAACATCATATAAACACAATCTTTCTTCAAGCACTTTAACGGACAGATGACCAGAAACAGCGAGGGCAGGCTACATTTATAATAACAAAGAGTGTAACAATAAAGAAATCACTACGACTGCCAGCGCGCGCGACTGGCACGACGTCTCCAGCGTCGCATCCAGTCTCATATCAAAGACACTAAACAGTACTGTAATCCCAGACTTTGATCACGTGAGCACAAACTTGGCCAAATGGGAAGGCGAGTCTCGGTAGTACGCTTCCGACCGCCATTACATTACAATGCGCGGTGGGCTGGACGATCGTGTGCGAAGAGAAAAAAAAATGCTACAGCGGCGCTTCGCGTAAAGCAAACAGACACAAGAGGCTGAGAATGACACAGGCAGGTTACACGCACACTTCCACTTATTTACCAATATAATAACGCTGACCTGAGAGATAAACAATGAGGAAGGAGTCGCCGCGGAGGACACCATGCACACATTGAGGATTTAATTCAATAATCAAACCATTTCTCGAGAAGGAGGAGGACACGCTTTTAAATGTCGAGGTGGTTTGTAAAGAAAGATTCTGCGGCATGCAACACAGTCTTTATGTCAAACATCGGCGCCAGACAAGGACTGTCACTTATGCTTGAACTGAGCATTTGAAAAAAAAAAAAAAAAAAAAAAAAATCACATGAGATCTGTTTTTTTTTGTGCAAGATTGACGCTGCTGTGGCCGCGAGAGGACGTTTCGTAATGGTATAAAACTGAAAGGAAGGAAGGATTTTTTCAAACCTCCGTCTACAGAAGCCTGCTTGTCGTTTTCCTGGCGGTGGAGTATAAGAATAGTTTTTCTTGCCTGAACGCTTTGACTCATGATTTGGGCTTTTTCTTTTTTTTTTTTTTTTTACAAGGGAACCCGCTCGACTTCGTCCGCCCTGCCACGGAGCAGGAGCACTGGGGGTTTTTTCTTTCCTTTCCTTTTCTTTTCTTTTCTTTTCTTTTCTTTTCTTTTTTTAAGAGATCCCCCTCTTCTGCGGTCCGTTTAATTCAAGAGCAACAGAGGGATTAAACATTCCTGCTCGCAGCGCCTGTTTGTGTGAGGCAGTACGGGGCTACATTGTGAGAGGAACGGTTGTGGTAAGAAAGAAGGCTATAAATAGCTCATGCAATTCTCGAAAACTATCACAAGTGGTGCATCAGCTTGTGGAGCAGACGGAATCAGATATCCTGCGTGTAATGTCTCGGCTCTAACTTGATTGTTTTGCAGAGCGGCAAACGTGTAATATATCTTTTTTTTTTTTGGAAGAAAAAGAAGAAGTTTTGACTCTGATTTCCCATTTTCTTCTTCTTCTTCTGGGGCTGTTCCTCTGCGCGGAAGAAAGGAGTGATTTTCTCATGGATTATGCTCATTTAGTGATGAAACTATCAGCCGAAAGACTGATATGGAAACAGACTGATCTTCCTCCGTGTGTGGATTGAAATGGATATAGTGCATTTCTCCGTCTTTGACAATGATCAGATTTGGAACCGCCTGACCTGGATTGTAACAATGTTTTGATCCCCGCACACGCTTGGATTTACAACATCACAACATTATAGATCTGCTGGGGGCTTTATGGATGCATTCTGCACTTCTTTTTGAATACGCCCATTCCTCTGCCCCCCCTCCCTCCCTCTCCCCGACAAATCTATTATGTGGAGCTCTTGTGAGGTTATAAGCCTGATTGTTTTGGCAGACTCGTAAGGGAACCGATTTGTCAGCCCCCCCCCTACCCCCCCCCCCTGCTCGGTGTTGGATACCGATGTAGGATTTCGACATGCCCAGCGCTGACGACCCCAACGGCGGACGATTATGACTACAACAGCGAATTGGGTGGCTAACGGGGCAAGCCTTGAGGACTGCCACTCCAACATCTTCTCTCTGGTACAGTATCTATAAATCATGCTCCAATCACAGTCACGCCAGCCAGTTGTGATCGACATAAGACCGTGGGAGGCACGCTTTAAATGTGTCTGCTGTACAAAGGTGAACCAATTGCTGGTGTTGTTATTAGGCAATCATTAACACGGGTTAGTGGTCCGGGGAAAAAGCACCATTTTTCCACTACTAAGCATGTTATAATAAAATATCTCAGCCCAGAGGCTTAAATCCACATGAATAACAAGACTTTATTGTCTGATTTCAATCCAAAACATCTCCCATAATGATTAAAATACAAGTAGCAAATGCTCCCAAAGCAAACTGCCCCATTATTTTGGCATGTATTTGCAGTTTTGGCATGGGTTTAGCTGATGAACAACAGGTAAACACTCATTTTCGCCATCATGGCCATTATCCTCCTCCCCTTTTTAAATAATCATTTCACTGGAAATGTAGCTGGAACTCTGTTGCATTGCCAAGCAACTAACTTGGAAAGAAGGCGTACTGCTGCCTCTGTCAGATACTTCTGCAGCCAGAGAACAGAGAAAGAGATTTTCTGATCTTCAGCAAACAGTAGTGTAATGTGTTGAGCTAATTGCTCACGAGGTTATAAATTGGATGAGTGGAGGAGAAATATTTGTGTGTATGTGAAACTGAGGAACATTCTTTTTTTTTTTTTTTCAGCAATAAAAAATTGATAATATGATTGTGTCACACAGAGAAAAGCAGGTTAATAAGATTCTGACAGAAGGCAACATGTATCAAGCACACAGCGGAAACAGCACTTTCACACTCAGTTTGTCTGAAAAAGGTGTTTTTTGACTCCGCAGGCAGTGTCATTTTTTGCAGAAGTCACTGGTTTTGAGGGTGGAAAAGACTGAGCAGCGCTTTTTCACAGTTCTCATCCTGCAATCAGCGAGTTAACTGTCCTACTACAACAGGCAGCCAAGTGGAAAGGCATGCGGTCGACTGAAGTCAGGCATAGGCTGCTGAGAACCACAACAACACAGGAATCCTGAGGGCTTTTTTTTTTTTTTTTTTCTCTCCATAAAGGTGATCATGCAGGTTGTCCATCAGCAACAGCAGCCAGACCTTCTTGAATTACACATTAACACCAAAGCCAAATAAACAAGTGTCACATGGTGTGGATTTATGAGATTGCAGAAATCTCTTAAATTTCAAACACATGCACTTGAAGTTCTTCCTTCTCAAGAATCCCAGTCATTTTGTGACTGAAGGGAGTAAGGAAATTAAAATAGTATCTCAAGCTATTCAAAAGCATGATGTTTGAATTGCTGTGGACTAACACCAAAATAACCAGCACCCCAGTATCAGACGTCTGAAATTCTCTCAGTGTGTCACCTTACAGCTGAAAACAGAGATTACGTCTCTATCAGTGTCTCAGTTGAGGTTATTCCCTTGTGGAGAGAGAGAGAGAAAGAGAGAGGGAGGGAGGGAGGGGAGAAAGAGAGGGGAGAGAGAGAAAGAGAGGGGAGAGAGAGAGAGAGGGAGAGAGGGGAGAGAGAGAGAGAGGGAGAGAGGGGAGAGAGGGAGAGGGAGAGGAAAAAAAAAAAAGCTTTCATTCACTCGCCGTGGCGTTTGTTGGCTGTCGTGCTGGCCCTGTGAACATCCCTTTCAAAGTGCGGGAGAAAGAGAGCATCCATCAGCTGGCTTGTTGAGAATATTTATGACTGGCTGGTGCCACAGCGGTTACTCGCTGGCAGGTCTCCGACAGAGAAATCCAAGACAGAGCGAAACACTAATGACACACCGAGTGTCCTGGTTAGAGGGTACGACTGAGACAAAGAGACAGAGGAGACAGACACAGGGATGCAGATTGCATCCTGATGTTGAGAATGAGACAGATGTGTGCCACAAGCTTAACAAGTGGCGGCCAAAGAAGGCACTTTTATTACCACTGGAAGTGAAGGAATCAAATCAGATGACTGTTCATCCAGCAAAAAGATTATATGAAAAAATATCATATGATTTCCTGCATTTTCCCACTTTTTTTTTTTCACTTCCTTTAGTGCTTAAACAGTTGGTTGATTGACAGAGAAAACAACAGGTTTGATTATCTATCAATAATTGCAGAGTTTTGTCAAGGAAAACTGCCAAACATTCACTAGTTCTTTCTTATCAAAGGTGAGAATTGTCTCTGTGTTATTACTGTAAATGGAAAACCTTTTGACTGTTGTTGCAGCAATATGGAGATGTGAGCTTTGTTTAATGGGAAACTATGATCGGAATTATTTTATAGACTAAAAAAATCTGCTAATGATAATATTCATTACTCTAACTTGGCCGTTTACAATCCCAGTAATGAGCAGCACAGCCTTTAAGGTGGGATGTTTCCTAACCTTTTCCTCCAGGTCATATTGGCTCTGTGCTTACATAAAGGTCTTGTGGGTAAACTAGTGAGCGCTCTGGTCTGACAGCCTGTTAAACAGCATTCCAACATGCACTAACCTCGTCCCTCGCACTGATTTACTGGCTGTTACAGCAACCTGCATCAATAGAAAGTACCTTTAGAAGGCGTAAGTGCCCATACTGTGGGACTTTATGGGGGCACGGCAGATTACTGTCATGCCTTCTGTGAGGCCCCGGTGTCAGACACTCGAAATTGCCTGCGATCACACAACCCACAAAACAACTGTCTTGTGTGCCGGTGATCATCCATCTGTGACAGGAAGCAAACGAGACCCTTGTAAGTGGGAGACGAGACCCGAGCGGGTGAGTTTAAGTTGAAGTAGCGATGGAGGAGGAGAAGGGGTGGAGGACGAGAGGAGAAACAGAAGAATGTTTTCAGCTGAAGGAGTGAGTTAGAGAGAGAGAGAAAGAGAGAGTGAGAGCGGCTGAAGGACTGCAGCGGAATCTGTTTTCATTTTAGGAAAGTATTATGACTGATGTGCATTTCCTGACTGCTAGCCTCAGCCTGTTTGAGAGACCAAGAGTGAAAGAGTGAGACAGAGCAAGAGAGAAAATTAAAGAGGGAGGAACGCAATGAGAGAGAGAGAGAGACAGAGACAGACAGAGAGAGAGAGAGAGAGAGAGAACAGTCATCTTTCTGTGGACTGGGCAGGTTCTTATAACAATGAGTCCCAGCCTGATTATGAAATGCAAGGAGGAGACAGTTAAGAGCCTCACGACACAGGAAGCCTCAGAGCGCGTGCGAGTGTGTGTGTGTGTGTGTGTGTGTGTGTGTGTGTGAGTGTGTGTGTGTGTGTCTGTGTGTCTGTGTGTGTGTGTGTGTCCTGTGCACATTGTAAACCATCCAGACCCAGGAGACAAACTTCAAACACTCGTCATATTATACACACACACATACACACACACACACACACACACACACACACACACACACACACAGACAAACACACAGGTGCATTCACAAACACAAGCATCGACGTGGAGACAGGAAAAAAAAATTAAAAAAATAAACACCCACATACCCACACAAACATATGTCTTGCAAATGCAACAAATACATGCACACACTAAATCCTCCACCCACGCTCACTCACATGCACATGCACATACACACCACATGCTTTATCGCCTTTATAAGGGCTGCGATTGCAACCTATATCCCAAGGATGCAGACTTGTACAAACACAGGTAGATTGCAGAGGCCTTAATTAAAGGACTTCTCCTGTCCCCTCCACAGAGGCGTGTGGCGTGCAACACTGGTAATTAAGTGTCCTCAAGTGAAGGTCTAATGTGATCAACTAAGAGGTGCTCATTAGCCAAACTGTATTCCAATAGAGATCTTGCATGTATAATAATGATGCCACTGCCTGGCACGGAAATAAAGTGCTAAGAGATGTGGCTGAGGGAATACCATTAACAGCAGTGTCTTGATTTATGGCAGGTGAGTGGCCGAGGCTTGTAAGAAGAAGCAGGTAATCAGGAATGGTGCCTTTTTAATATAGGCTGTTTGCATTTCCTCATTATTAATGGTAGTGGATATTGCAGGAGTGCTTAGGGATGAAAAAGAGGCAGTGGCTGGATGAAGTGTGTGTCATGAGCTGCTGAGCTGAGGAATTGGCCGAGTCGGAGTTTAATAGGGCTGTGTATCGCTTGATTTTTTTTTTTCAGTGTTAGTGTTCATATGATACCTGAGTGTTGGTGGTGATAACAAAACAACTCTGTTTTTCTTACCTGAATTGGAGAAATAAACATTTTTCCTTTTACAAAGCCAGTTCTCAACTGAAGTTCTCAAATCCTAAATGTTGTCTAAACTAAAACCTCAATGGTAACTTGAGGCTAAGTTAATATCAGCTGATATATATATATATAAAACACCGTTGCCATGACAGTCTGTCCAGCTTTAAACTTAAGGTCGTACAAAAATAGTCTACAATTAGTCAAACTTTATTTAAAAGGATAAAGCTAGTGATTGTTATTATTGTCAGCAATTCCCATAAAAAGACCAGAGATGAAAAATATAAATTTTCATTTAAAAAAAGGCTCAATAATTTACTAGGAAGCAGGACACTGTAGCTTTTTTAGCAAATGTTATACAAACAGTACTAAATAGAGAATTTGTTGTTGAGTATTTTCATGTGTGGATTTAGTTGCCATAAATACTCAGAGTGGTGCAAGTAGCATTGACTCAAAATAAATGATAGTGCCTGTATTCTGTGTAATTTAGTAGTTTACAGTGAAGCTCTATGGCACAGAGAGATTTCAGGTTTGGGCTGCACATACAGTTCTTGATAGTTGGATCAATTTATTGTTGTTTTTTTTGTTTTCATGGGATTTGTTGACAACAAGAAAAATATAGATCATCACTAGACTCATCCTTTAAATCGGAAACTAATGAAGAATGAGTAAGCAGGACTATGAATGCAGCGGTTTGATGTCAGCCCTTGATACTCCACGGTCTTTTAACTCTGTGTAAATCTATGACAGTGTCGCTCATATTGAGATATCTAAGGATGACACTGAAGCCACGGCAGTGTCCTCTTACACAAGGAGAGGATCAGTCCAGGTTTCCAAGG